ACGTACAACCATTTAATTATTTATTAAATCAAAAAAGTGGTATTTTAAGAAATTCTTACATGAGAAATGAGTTTTTAAAAAAATGTGTGGCTATGTTGCACCTGTTATGATAAAGTTAACAAACGCTACAGGTGAAGATAGTTTATGTGACTACGCATACGGTCCCATATTACATACTTTAGAGGTACTGTTACGAGATGAGAATATATTTGCCTATGCGTCTTGTGATGCGTCTTGTCATGGAAATGCATACTCTGATATTTTAGACGGAACCATCGTTAAAGGCAGCACATTTTTTTCTCGAAAAAACACATTGAAAATTGGGTTATACGTCGACGCCTTCAAAGTGTGCAACCCTTTGGGCTCATCACGTGGTAAATTCAAAATTGTCGATGTATATTTAATGCTATTTAACATCCCACCACATTTACGTTCTAAAACAAAATGTATTAAATTAGTTGCACTTTGCAAAGAAAAAGATGTATGTGTATTTGGGTGGAATCAATTCTTGGGTAAAATTGTATCAGATTTGAAATACCTCGAAAGTAATGGAATAAATATAGAGAACAACGGAAATATTACAAACTTTAAAGGCGGAGTTGTTGCCGTGCTGGGTGATAATTTGGGCAGTCACCAAATAGGTGGATTTACCAAAAAATTTAGTAACGTAATGCACTTCTGCCGTTATTGCGATATTACTGCTGAAGAATTTCGAAATAATCCTATGTGCCGTAAAAGTCTTCGTTCGGTTGAAGATTACAACGAGTGCGTTATTGAGGCTGAGGGTACCAGAAAAATAGGAAAAGGAATTAAAAAAAACTCGCCCCTTAATAATTTAAATTATTTTCATGTTTGTAATCCTGGATTACCTCCTTGCTTAGCTCATGACGTATTTAAAGGAATTATGCAGTTCGATTTGTATCTCGCAATCAGTTATTTCATAAGAAATAAATGGTTTGATGTTCGTTTGCTTAATTATTGATTAAATAATGTCAAATATGTCACAAAAAGCGATTTGTTAATTCCGGAAATAAAAATAAACAAAAACAAAAGTTAACTGGTTCTGCCAGTCAAATGAAAGAATTGATAAAAATTTTTCCGGTGGCAATCACTGATTTGGTAAAAGATTTTTCTGACGGAGTGTGGCAAATGGTTTTGAACTTAAAAAAATTATGCAGTTTACTTTGCGCACCAGCTTTATCAGAAAGTTAAATCGCAATACTAAATGATACAATACGTTGGTATATTTATTTTAAAAAAAATTGTTTTCCGGAAACTGTCCTGAGACTTAAACACGAGTTTCTTCTACATTACGCTGAGTTAATACTAATATTTGGACCGCCAAAACACACGTGGATATTAAGATGCGAAAGTAAACACACGTTTTTCAAAATTTTAATTCGACATTTAAAAAATTTTAAGCACATTACTTTAACAATGGCCGAAAAACACGAATTATCGCAGAGAAGTATCGATGGGTCTTACGCAAATAACATTGAATATAAATATATTTATTCATACAATCCCGAGAGCTTTGATTCAAAAAAATATGACATAATTGCAAAGTATGAATTTTCACGTAACATTGGATATTATACGAGTGATGCTGTTTATCGCGGTGTACGTTCTACTAAAGGATCTCGGATCACAGTTGGAAAGAGTGAATATGGAAATATTATCGTATGTAAAATAGAATATATATTTATATGTAGCAACAAGCACGATATTTATTTTTTCGGCAATACTCATGAAATAGTTCTCATCCCGGAATTGGAAATTTACGAGATTTTACAGTACTCTGATTGCAATACTACTGTTGAACGTTATGGCCTATTTCCCTACTCCACATTGACTTCTGCAGAGCCAATTACAGAATGCCTTATTCGCTCACATCAGATTTTTTTAATGCCATACGAACCGGTAGATATCAACATATAAGAATAGTAAGTATTCATATGCATGTACCGTAATTACTTTACTTGTCATATATTTGCACCTTGGCGATCATATTTTGTGATCGTTACGATTTTTTGTATGGTAATAAAAAGTATAGGCTACACAAGCGCTTGTTAAATTTTGACAACGTTAAAAATTAATTTCGGTAACAAGAGTGGCATTGCTGCTCGAGCTATCTTTCGGTCCAAAGGATCATATAGGGTGGCCCCAGTTGGGTGGCGCTTGTGTAGCAAACCCTGATTTTTCTATAGAGATTACAGTAAACATATAAAGGTTCCAAAAAGGCAGGGAAATTAATAGTTCGGCTTTAGGTTGCAAAGTACAGTTTGATCGCCTGAAGAGTGCGGTTGTCGGATTTTTGTGTTTGAGTTGACAACGATGTTTGTTCTATCAAGGGCGCAAAGTGCTGTTTAGCGCGAAGTCCTATTTTGCGCCCTAGGGTGGGAATAAATTTTGAGCCTGAAAGTCCGAAATATTCCTCACCGCCCGTGGCCACTAAGTATGCCCTAGAACGCAAAGCACTTTGCCTGAGGGACGAAAAAAAATTATTGTACGATGATTTAAATGTTTTTATTGTACGCTAGTTTAAAGTTTATATTTTGTTGTTTTAACGTATGATTTTATTAAGAGGGAACTTTATACGTACTGTTTAATTAAATACATTATTTACTTTTTTTCCAGATGATATTCAAAGTGTGGTCATGTTGTCGAAACAATAAATGTTTAGTAAAAATAGTTGATCAACATGATCCTCTGCATTATCTGATCACGGAAGTAAGTATTAAATTAAAAATCAATGGAACAACAATTGTTTTGGAAAGCGATGGAACGACGGTTGATGACAGCGAAATTTTGGTGGAAAAGGAGACATTAATACTTTTGAAAGATAACGAAAAATGGAGTCCAGTATGTTCACAATCAGAAAATCAAATAAGGATCACCGCAGGGTCTTCTGTTTCGAATCACAATAATGAAACACAGCGCACCCCATCCCCACCACCAGTTCAGATTCCAGCGTCTTCTTTTGAAAAATTCCGTGTTCCGTGGCATTTACTTGAAACCGCTACGCTAAACATTTTAAATAAAAAAGAGAACTTGCAAAATGTCAATCTAAAAAAAAAATGTGTAAAGAAGTTGTAAATACAACAGTCGCGGAAATGAGAATGATCAGTAAATATCCTAAAGAGAGTGATTTCAGAAATGTTGCCTTTCAACTTCAAGATTCGTATCCTCATGTATTCGAGGATCGTTGGAAAAACGGGGAACGAATTGGCAATGAAATCGAAGTCATGTTACAGAAATTAAAAAATCGAAATAATAACATGAATAGACCGCACCAAAAAAATGCTTTGATGAACGTGTTAACACCAAGTACAGTCCATATCAGCAAACGGAAGAAGCTGAATTCTTTAAAAGGCGGTTGTCCAGAATTTCAGCCGACTTCATGTTGTGACGGCGAGGATCAAACGACAGCTGAAGAACATCGTCTAAAATTACTTAAGATTGATACTGATATAGACTATACGGATACAGTTGCTTTAGATGAATATCTATCAGCCTTCACCAAATCTTATCCACTTCAACGATCGTTCCTCAATAATATAAGTAAATTCCCTCTCAAGGACGAAATTTTGTCGACGTGGCCATGCCTGTTTCATAAGTACTTTATGTACACCCACTTTCAAATGTTAACTGGAAAATCAATCCTGGACTTTGAAACTAGATTACTAGAAGAATGTCAAGAACTATTACAACATGGAGGGAAAAAACAATTCATACCCGTTGACGCAGCTACAGAATCCGAACAAATGCAGTACATTATGTGCATACAAGTAATAATAATGCATCATAGCCCGATCAGCGATTCACCATCTGCAGTTTAAATCGCGTCAGCTGCTGCTGGGCTTGTCAAATTATATGTATATATGAGATACCATCTATATATCTCATCTGTGTATATATATAATACAACAAATATATGTACATAAGTAGCCAAATAACCGAACACACCTTCTCACTTGGAGGGAACTGGACAGGGTACCCCCACTCCGCTACAATGGCATTAGGTGAAACGACGGATTTAGGTGAACTACCATTGTCGAGTCTTACTTCACCCACTCTCGCCATCATTGTCTGCATTACGTGGCATTGTTGCCCAATCACTGTGAGAACCTGACAAATATACTAACAATGGGATACTCTTGACTTCTGTGAGTCACTGCCCATAATCACCCACCAGCGGCACCAGCTCCAGCGTTCTAATCCTCTCATCCAATGTTCTCATCGTTGATTCATCTCTATAGCCAATTCGACATCCTCAGAGAGGATTTTTGCTCACCCTGACTCCCTTTGCTGTTCAAAGCCCCAAAAGGCCGCTTTTAACAATTTGGCGCTTGACGTGGGGCTTTGTTTCCGTCCAGGAGACAAGTGTACTGGTTATGGACTCCTTCTCGATAGTCGTGAATCGTCACCCAACTACCCACCAGTGGCACCAACTCCAGTGGTGAAAAGGAATTCCAGCAGAACTGCACTACCTCTCCACGCCTAGAGACTCTAGCACAGGGTGCTTACTGCGGTTCGGTCTCGACCATCGATCGATACCTTCAAAGACGACTCCGGCCACCCTTACTTCTTCCTTCTGTTCAAAGCCGCCTATCCTCTAAAAGGCCAGTTTTAACAAACTGAAAAATCTATATTTTGCTTCTAGGCGTCTGAATCGTAAAAACTGCAAATTTTCGAATGAGACCCGAGCCCATAACGCTAATTTAGCCTGTTTTTTGTATCTTAAACTAGAGCAATACTTTTTTTTAATTCGAATTTTGTTGTCCTTTCAGCAGAAAATATTTTTACATTACATAAAAAAAAATTTCAAATCCCATACACGATGTTGTAATTGACTCGGGCACAGAATAGCCCGTTTTTTCAGTAGAATGACCCACATATATTTTTTATTAATATTATCATTATTTTTAAGAAAATTTTTAAAAATAATGCCATTTAATAAAGATACAGGAAATGAAGAAATCACTTTAGAAATGTATTACCTTTCCGTGATGGACGAATAATAAATTTTTAATTTAAATGCTTGAGCTGTTGCTTCAGGCAGCACTACCAAGATTCCCGGATTAATTCCGCTTTTTTTGATGAGATAATCTCCCATAATACGACCAGCTGGCTCGTGGTAGTAAGATTTAAGAAGTGAACCATTGGTAAGTACCCAATTTTGTGCTATGAGTATTCCACAAGCGCTGATTGTTTCTAGACTTTCTTCGAAATAGTGCGTCAGTAGAACACATTGGGGTTCAATTTCCATGGTTTTCTGCAACCAACAAAAATTTACGTACTATAACAAACTGTTAACTATAAGTTGTTAGAGTTTAAATAACGTACTAAGTCAGTTTTAAGTTCTTATAATTAAAAATATTCAGAAATGGATGATTTATTAATACACTCATTCGAAAAGTAACTCATATTGGCCTGTTTTTTTAAACATATATTTACGGAAAAAAACTCAAGGTTTCAGAATGTTCGTTTGTAAAGAGTTGCTCAGATTTTATATCTTTTGGTCGTTTCTCGTAATGAACTTTCATGAATTTTTTTTTATTGCTAGACATTACTGGTACTTTTTTTGTTACATTTACAATTAAATACGTATAAATTTATTTAATTTTAAATCACAAACACATGGCATTTAAAACCTTCGGTTTTTATTTATTTAAAAAAAACTAGCTATATAATTGGATTTTGAGTAAAGAGTAGTATAAGTTTAAAGCTAAATTTAGTACTATAGTGCTAAAGTTTCGAAGCCAATTTTGTTTAAGGGATTGGTTACTTGGTTCCATGGTGTGAAAAATACATAAGGTGGGCTCTTCAGCCCCCGAACTGATCAGCCAACCAGGAGGCTTGGTACAAGTGACCTTTCATACTGGATTTTCCACCAATGAGTGTAGAAAGAACGTTATTTAACTACTTACACTTTATTGCTAAAAATAAATACAACTCACCTCGAGAAGCAGTATTAAATTGAAAGCTTCGTACGTACGATAAACGTTAATAAGATTGCCAGAGATGAAAAAAAAAAACTGACTTCTGATTTTAAAATTCTCATAAAAAAAAAAAAATTTTTAAATTTGTTTATTAAAATATTTAATAAACTTTATGCATTGTATATTTTACAAATAATCAGATCATCATATAGAATAATCTTTATACATAAACCAGTACACCTAACAAATTTCAAACATATTATTTATCGTGGAAATTTTTTACCCTGTACTCTTGTTTATGTGTAGCAGTAGTTGAACAACGCGCTCTCTACGCTCATTGGTGGAAAATCCAATATGGAAGGTCACTTGTTTCAAGCCTCCTGATTGTCTGAAGAGCCCACCTTATGTATTTTTTTACACCTTGCTTGGTTCCTAGTGAACATACGCAGTTTTTTTCTGAGCTGTTTTCAATAAAAAAATGTGCAGCAATCGGAAACAGCACCGCCTGCATGGGTAAAAACGGCACTAGTGCGGTATTTACTCTTAAGAATAATATAACCTCTCATGGAATTAACGGATCCCGTATAACTAAATTAAGTTTTTTTAGTGTTGTAAACAAGTTTCAAGCCAACAGTAAGTTTTTAACTTCTTCATGCAGAAAAAAAGTTTTTCCATAAAAAATACATGTGAGTAGGTAAGTATAAACAACTTTTCCCGTTGGGGGCACTGTTTCAAAGTGTTGCACGGAGCAAATTTGCTGTGAGAATAGAAAGTGGTACCTTCAGCTCATGGCCAGTGCTTGTACCACAGGGGGACGCCAGTGGCATGAAATCCATGTCGTTCATAGATATCTTTGGATATGTTAAAAGTTAAACATATTATGGTAAGATATAAAGCGTTAATGTTGTAGGAAATTCAATTATAAGTAAGTACCTTTGTATCCCATGTCATAGATCAAAACAGGAATTTTCGTATTACAGCCGTTAAAGGTATGAAGAGCCTGCGAGAATATAATGTAAATAGTATATATAGTCTATCCAAATGGTGCGTCTGCTCAGGGTAACACTGTAGTTCACCTAAATCCGTTGTTCCACCTAAGACTGTGAAAGCGTGGAGGGGGTACCCTGTTAAGTTTCTCTCAAGTGCTAAGGCGTGTTCGATTATTTGACTTCACATGTGACATATACAGCATGATATGTAACGGTGGCATTTCCCGAGAACCGCGTGTAGAGCGATTTTTTCTGACGCGAACCCCGTTGGAATTAATTTTTTAGGGCAAATAGCTTTTAAATAGGAGCCGATCGAAAATACGTTCCAAACTACCCCTAAATGGGGTTGGAAGGCTATAGCGCGCCCGCATGCACTCGCGACGTTGCCACATTGTTATTGGAGCTTAGTCGGTAAGCAGTGAGAACTATATCCATGTGCGCACGCAAGAGCGTCAGCTACTGCTGGTAACTTGAAGGTTGGATGTAAAAATTTTTACCTTAAGGTAAATATTGTCTGCTCCTTATGTTGTCAGTTGTTTATCCACGCGCTAACTGTCTTTCTCACTCTCATGTTGGACAAAAACATCTTTAAATTTTTATACTTAAGTAATGTTACCTCGAATGAAAGTAAAATACCATATCAGTAGGGATTTTCCCACTCTACACGATAGTATTTTGGCAAAAATAGTCGAGCTCTCGGTCAAAAATATTGTTGTTAGGTATGTCTTGCTTATGTTCCCGGGTATGTCGTCTGTACACGATTAAGAACGAGTCCATTCATAAATTGAAATAATCAAGTGCCCGGGAAGTGCCCGGGAAGTGCCCGGGAAGTACCCGGCAAGTACCGGGGAAGTACCCGCCAAGTGCCCTGGAAGTATCAGGCAAATGCCCACAAAGTACCCGGCAAGTGCTCGCGAAGTACCCGGGAAGTACCCGAGGAAGTGCTCGCCAAGTCCCCGCCTAGTACAATACAGTCGGGTACTTCCCGGGTACTTGGCGGGCACTTGCCGGGTACTTCCCGGGCACTTGGCGGGTACTTCCCGGGCACTTCCCGGGTACTTGGCGGGCACTTGCCGGGTACTTCCCGGGCACTTTGCGGGGCACTTTACTGGTACTTGGCGGGCACTTGCCAGGTACCTCCTGGGCACTTGGCGGGTACTTCCTGGGCACTTCCTCGGGTACTTCCCGGGCACTTGGCGGGTACTTCCCGGGCACTTCCTCGGGTACTTCCCGGGCACTTGGGGGGTACTTCCGGGGCACTTCTTCGGGTACTTCCCGGGCACTTGGCGGGTACTTCCCGGGCACTTCCTCGGGTACTTCCCGAATACTTCCTGGTTACTTTCTCGGGTACTTCCCGGGCACTTCCTTGGGTACTTGGCGGGTACTTCCCGGGTACTTGGCGGGCACTTGCCGGGTACTTTCCGGGCACTTGGCGGGTACTTGGCGGGTACTTCCCGGGTACTTGGCGGGCACTTGCCGGGTACTTCCAGGGTACTTGGCGGGTACTTCCCGGGCACTTCCCGGGCACTTTCCAGGCACTTGATTATTTCAATTTATGAATGGACTCGTTCTAAATCGTGTACAGACGACATACCCAGGAACATAAGCAAGACATACCTAACAACAATATTTTTGACCGAGAGCTCGACTATTTTTGCAAAAATACTATCGTGTAGAGTGGAAAAATCCCTACTGATATGGTATTTTACTTTCATTCGAGGTAACATTACTTAAGTATAAAAATTTAAAGATGTTTTTGTCCAACATGAGAGTGAGAAAGACAGTAAGCGCGTGGATAAACAACTGACAACTTAAG